TTTAGTTTTATTTGCTTTTTTTAAAACTTAAAACAAAGGAATTAAGAACTTTTTCCAGCTCTGGAAAAAAAAAAAAATAGTGACCGCACTTAACTTTCGTCTCGTGGAATCCGAGCTCACCGCGGACACGTGAAGGCAGCAGCAGTGTGAGATCAGCTGATTCTTCACGCTGCCATTTTGTCCGGCGGAGACTCAGTGACACCGTCCGCTCACAGGCACCGGGACCGTCGGCGGAGAAAGCACCGAGCGATCCTACAGCAGCGAGCCGACGGTGTGGAGCCAACAGCCGGAGGACAGCGCCAACCGAGCCCGAGGACCGCGAGAGGAAAGCGCCGAGCTGAGGAGGGGGCTGTGGTTCAGTAACTCACCGCGGTCGCCGGCTCTGCTCCTCCGCCAGACCTCAGCCTCGCACCCCGCTCCCCGGCCGGTTAGCTTCCCCCCCCTCGGCTAGCGTCTCAGCTAACACCCTCCGCTCCCCCTGCCTCCTCTCCCAGGGGGGAACCCGCGCCTTCCCCGGGGGCTGTCAGTCCCGCCCTCTCGCCGCGTGAGCTCCGGACGATGCCCTGCTCGGCTCTCGGTGACTTTTTACACGCGCGGGGCGGTTCGGCTCACACTTCCCCCCGCCGCCAGTGCTAGCTAGCGGCGGCGCAGGCTAACAAGTTGACGTGGAACCTCGAGCGTCCGGATCGCGGAGATCGTCGCCGGTGCTGTCGGGGGCTGTGACTTCGCGCGGATTCACGTCACTCATTCGCGTTATTGACTTTTCTCCTCCGAACCAGTCGCCAGGTCACGAACAGCCTGTCAGCGATGAGTATTAGTGGCCGGAAAGTCCTCTGCAGTGTTTACAAAGTCCACAGCGGGACTCTTTCCTGGTTCCTGTGCTGCAGCGTTAGCTAACACACGCCAGCTCTCGTCGGTGTCGGTGTCGGTGGTGTTGACTCAGATCCTCCTGCAGAACTGATTGTGGGCTTTCTCCTCTTTCCCCAAACTCGGTTCTACCCGCGGCTGGTTCTCCTCGCTGGTGACATCACCGCTGCTCCTCGGAAACTAGAAGAACTGGTCTGGTTTTTTTTTTTTGTTTTTTTTTGTTTGTTTGTAACCTCCGACCTGACAGGGACGTCACGTTGAGCTGTCGATCGGGGTCGTTGTCGTGCGGTTGTTGAACGGATTGAAAGGAGGAGAAGGAAGGAGAAGAGAGAGAGAGAAGGACGAATAGAACGCGATGTCAGGCCAGTCTATCACGGACCGGATCGCTGCAGCGCAGCACAGCATGACCGGGTCGGCCATCAGCAAGGCTGTGTGCAAAGCCACCACACATGAAGTCAGCGGACCCAAGAAGAAACACCTCGACTGTGAGTACACCCTCCTCCTCTGTGTGTGTCTGTCTGTGTGTCTGTGTGTAGTCTGTCTCCTCTTCAGGACATTCTCCAGAGTGGACACTGACCAGCACCCGAGGCACCTCGAGTCTGGTCCCGATGAGGTCAAACCGGAGGTACCTCAGGTGCTGGTTGAGGTTTGGGGCTGCCCACAGTGAATGCACATACTCTGATTAAGGACAGCAGTGTAAACTCTTGTGTGTGTCTGGTTGCATCTTTAAAAACTGACTTCTCAGGAACTCGTGAGGACCAGAGTCCAGTCCCGGTGAGGTAAAGTGTGAGGTACCTCAGGTCCCTGTCAGGGTCTTTGTAAGAATAGCTGAGCGAACCTGTGTTGTTTGTGTTTGTACTCGTTTCAGCCTCCGGGAGTTTTCCAGCGTAAACACTGACCTGTCGGGACCTCATTAGGACCAAAGTCTGGTCCTGATGAGGCAAAGTTTAATTTGAGAGGTCCTGGTTGAGGTCTCACGTCACTTGTGGTCAGGTTAAGTTTAGATATGAGTTATTGCTAAAGTTGGGGGTGAGGTTTTGTCCTCGCTGTCCACAATGGATGGAAGTCAATGCAAAGTCAAAGGTTAAGGGACGTAGTGTTTCATTGAGTGTCTTCACAACCAGAGAAAGATAAATGTGTGTCTGTGTATTTACTGGTTTTTCTTACCTCTTTAGAATAAACACTGACCTCATTAGAACCAGGCTTTGGTCCTAATGAGGCAAAACTTAATTTCTCAGGTCCTGGTGAAGTTTAGTGGTAAGATGTGAATTGTGTTCAGGTTGTTAATGATTTACACACATTCCTTCACGCTCCCAGGCTGTGGACCGTCAACTATACTGTTACCTCCATACCGCCTGTTAACTTTGAATACTAAAGAAAGCTAGAGGACGTAACAAATGTCCTGAAGATGCTGGACCATCAGCTGTTAGTGTTCAATTAAAGCTCTTTTTTGATTGATTGATTGATGGATGTGCTTTGGATGGATTTAAAGCTAATTGGGCTGTAACTAACCCTCCTGTTGGTTTTGTTGGTTGATGATGTTTGTTCAGTTTGTGTGTTTATTGGTTTGTTTGCTTGTCGGCAGAATCACACTAAAAATGCTGAAAAGATTTCCACCAAATATTGTGGAGCCTGTTAAAAGATCGGGGATTTTGAGAATAATTTATGAATCTTTATTTTAAAAAAGTCAAACATATGAAGTGTGCTGTTTAATTCGAGTGTGTGGAATCTGTTGCAGCTTTATTGAGTTGTGTTGGACCTTGGCGTACTGAGTGCCACCCCTGTTTTCCTGATTGATGAATCTGCACATGATATTCTCAGGTTTTTATCTATAACATGTCTTTGTGCGTGTCACAGTGTTCCAGACCCAAGCTGACGTCTTTAAATGGTTTATTTCAAGATAAGAGGGAGAATCTGGCTCCGTTACAAACCCCTAAATAGCAGGTTCTTGTTGTGTAGTCGTCAAGGCGCAGGCGGAGATGACAAAACAAGTGACAAGAGCCACAGCGAGCAGGTCTGTCATCAGGAAGGACAGTCTGTGTCCACCTCGTTTCCAGCGAGAGACAAAAAGACGGAGGTGTGCACTAAAAATCTCACAGATGGTGTGTGAGAACAATTTGCACAGGCATCATATTTTCTCACGAGGCAGCTTTGGTGGCCTTTATTTTTTTTTTGGTGGGGACATTTCTCACACAGCTCCTGCAGGTGGAGAGAAGAATGTAGTCAGCAAAGGAAGCACATGCACTCAAGATTCCTCTGGTTTGTTTGTTTTCCGTTCTGATTTCTCATCTTTTCACAGTTTTGACTTCGAAAGCGAGAGTTGAAGTTACACCGAGTCGTGTCGAAGTTGGCAGAAATTATGAGCGTATGAATGAATGCATTTATTAAAAGCAGGAACGAGTCACGTCCATCCATATGCATAATGCTTGTGCTTGTGCTAGACATGACTGGGACTAAATGTGCTGAGGCTCTGTTTCTGGGAACTGGCTTTGTCGGCATGAGACGCAGATGTTTGATCGATGCTTCAGCTCAGCTGCCTCGCATCCGTCAACTCCTCCTCCTCCTCACCCGCTCGCTCACAAGACTCAGCTGCTGACGTTCAACAAAAGTCATGTATTGTCTCAGCTCCTCTGTGAACTTGGACAGACCTTAACAGCCAATACGCCACGTTGAGCTTAATCATTGTGGGATATTGATTTCTTTTGTGAGAGCAAGGACCTCAGTGGCGTAGGTAGAGCGGTCAGCGAGTGATGCATTGCATGAAGGCCTGATTGTGATGCTGTTTGTCCGCGTGATGATTTTTTACCATGAAAGTAGATTCCAGGATTGTCGGGCAGTCAGGGTTGTTGTGTTGTCATGCAGGTAGTTCGTTTGTGTGTCTATTAGCAAACCAGGGAGGTTCAGTCAAGCAGCCAACTATCATGAAGTTATGATAGTTTCCCTTTTTGTCAGGTTTCTTACTTTTCATCCTTTTTTAGTTTCTTGTTTGTTGTATTTTCTACGTCCAAGCAACCAACTGGTCAACAACAGACAATCTGCTGCCTATTTACACAGGCACACACATGACCGATGTATGTGAGTAGTCATGTGATGTGTTTTCAGCTTTATTATGGACAGAGATAGATTTTTTATCTCAAAACCTAAAGTTACTCAGTTAACAGTTGAAAGAAAAGCAGCAAATCTCTGTCATGGTAGAAAAAAGTTAGTGTAAACATGTTGTCGAGCATCAACAAGGATGAGGAGAAGTCAAGTTTAACCAGAAGTTGTTGCTGCTGACACATTTGAGATGGATTTAGAAACCAGCGTGGTCCAGTTCCGCTGGATGTTGGCACAGTCGAGATTCATCTGGAAGCAAGATGCTACAGGCCTGAACAGAGGCCTAGGAAGGCAAAGGTGCAGTTGGCAGTTCCGCCTGCCAGCCATCCAGCCAACTAGCTAGCATGTGTGTGTGTCTTATCAGTTAGTGAGTTGTTTGCCTGCCATTTATTCAGGAAGAAACCTGAGAACACCTGGAATCTTAACTACGGTTACGTCGACCATTGAATATGTTTATTATCGATGGGGAAAATTGCTTTTGATGCACTTCTTGGCGTCATTATCAATATGTGCCAGTCTCCAGCTAAGACATTTTGTGTTCAGGGAGGTCATAGCAGGTTGAAATATGTCGCCCCTGTTTTCTTTTTTTGTGCACATGAATCTTTTCACACAGTCACAGCCTCTATCCATTGACACACGAACGCCTACAACAGCCATCGTTTTCTTTCGCCCTTGGCACAAATTCACTGCAAGCAGCTGTGACTGTCTGACAGCAGACTGTGAATGATCTCACTGGCGTATTTGCATCAAGACCCAATAACCGAATAACCCTGGCAGAAGTCTTTCAGCGTCGCCAGCATTTGAGCGTGCGAGGGTTCAGGGGGCCGCTGTAAGCTCAAGCAGCCGTGACATTCATGCACCACTGGTGAAAATAAGTGCCATTTCAAAACCATTTAGTGTCATGATTTGGGCTGTCTGCAGAAATGACGAGTCCTTGCCACCAGTTGTGAGAAGCTCCTCTATTTATGGTGATTATCATCATAAAAACCAACGAGGGAGGGTCAGACGCTGCTCGGACGTCTGTGTCTGCCTGCCCACCTGCTCACAGTTTGTCGAAGTGAGAGATGTTGTGTGTTTAATCCCTCCTTTATAAGCAGCTAAGTGATTGCCATGGCACAGACACATACACCAGTGTTTACCACAGAATTACATTCCATCTGTGGGGGCAGTCGCCTGAAGGGGGGTGTGTGGGATGTGGGGGGGGGGKGGGGTTTGATGTTGTTAGCCCGGCCCCGGCACACGGGATAAGCATGTTGTTCTGAGTGACACGTGAAGTGACGGAGAGGGAGTCGGTGTTGTGTGATGCTTCAAATTGAAAACTGAATTGATTTCCCTTTTATTTTTGAGTTGGAACAAAGATGGGCAGGATCTCTCTTGGTGCTCCTGATGGTCTGTCAGCATCGTGGGGGGGGGGGGGCAGTGGATTGATGCGCTGCGCTCCGAGACATAATGAAGCAACAGTGTAAAGCACTATGTCGGTAATGTTTTATGTCGGCGGAGGTTCCACTCAACAGATTCCAGCAGAATACGTTGTGGATCCATTTTTTATAATTCGGATTTCAACATGGTGTCATCGGGGGGTCAGGTGTTTGTCGGCTGCTGTGCGGTGACGTGTTTTGGGCGCAGATTCGGACAAATCAGTCATTTCGTTAACAACGCCCTCCGCTGAGTGCTGTTCATCTTAATACTGAGGCAGTACATATTAGAATACGGTGAACCACCACAGGTGATCAGGTTCCCCTCACCTCGTTGTCATAGCAATAAACGAGCCAACCGCTTTGTGTTAAATGGGCTTTACAGTGGAAGTCGGACGGTGAAGTCATCTGCAGCGGCTGTAACGTTTCTTCCAGGTAGTGAATGAAACACTTACGATCGTTTGTAACAATCCAGCTAATGGAAACTGTTTTAATTGTGAACACAAGGCACCTGGAATAATTACTACTTTCCATCTAACTGCTCAACTGAATGACTGGTGGGAAGGTTCCTCCAGCACTTCACCTTTGTGACCAACTCGCACCGTGAGCAGTCACCTGGTTGTCGTGTGAAAGCCATTGGAGTCACATAAACGGAGGCGTGAATGAGCCGACGATATGTGATGCAGGAGTTTCGATCCTGTTTGCTCTTAAGGCTTGATGCACTCTCAATGGCCTTCGTTACGTCTCCTCCGAACCATCTGTCTCCGTCCTCTGAAATGTGTTCTTCATAGTCTTCAAAGCAGTGAATTAGAGGAAGGGGGGGAAGACGAGAGTCGAGGGGAAATCAAGCACGACAGAGCGATTCAGGAAAATAACCACAAGAAGGCCTTTCACTCAGAAGTAGAATTCTGTCTGACTGTAACAGAGTCACAAGTTTTGTGGTTTCCAACTTTCTTTACTTCTGTTTTTATTTT